CTGCCCAGAGCAGCCCCTGCTCCCCTGGGTGACATCCCACACCCTGGGCTCCCTGCCCTCATGCCAGGCTGGGATCAGGGTCACTGTGTCAGGAGGGGGTTTGGTTGGGGCCAGAGGGTGAGCCCTGCCCTGGCCTGGTGTTGGGCACTGGGAGAGGGAAGGAATGTGGTGGGGGGTGACTGTGCTGCTTTCCTGGAGAGCCACAAACCCCAGGAAATGCAGCTCAAACCTATAGCCCTGGTCAGGCCTCTTGCAGGGAGGGATGATGTGAGGCATGAATGGAGATCACAGAGGAGGGAAAGCAGGGAAAGAGCTGCAGGGATGTCTGAGTCACCCGCCTTCCCACTGACACGCACAGCTGAGTGTTTTCACAACCACCTCCACAGAGCAACCAAGTTACAGCCCAATTCCAGAGGCCCTGGAGTCCTCCCTTGCTGTCAGGTGCTCAGGGCAGATGCCAGCCAGGGATGCCCCTGCCCAGCCACGAGGCTGAAGGTGCAGCTGCTCCGAGTGCCAGGCTGGGTGGGAGGGCACAGGAAGGGGCTCTGCCTGTACCACAGGATGGGGCAGCCCCCGGGGCAAACACACCCCCACATTCATCCCATGTAGCATCAGCACTGCACCACTCAGCTGTGGGCTGGCTGGGAAGGTGCTCTTTGGTGGGATTTGGCAGTGTTTGGGGTGAGGAGGGTGAAGGAGCCCATGAATCAGCCCCGGGGGGCTGCCCACGGTGCCAACCCAGAGCATCACACAGGCTCTGCTGTGTTCCTGCAGAAACCCAAAGAATCCCTTGGAAAGGCAAATTCCCTCTTGATATATCAGCCTGTGAGGGAAGCCTCAAAACCTTCAACCCAGCAGATGTGCCTGTCTTTAGGAAAGGCAGCCCACAGGAGCAGTGTGGGGTCACGCGTGTTTGTGCCAATCCACTCTCCAAAGGAAACACAGCTCGGGGTGGGGGAGCTCCAAATTCAGCCCTGACCCCCTCCCTCCTGCTGTGGAGCATTTATGGGGTTTGCCTGGAGTAAAGCAGATGCTCTGGTGGAAAATGGCAGGTGAGAGAGGATTTCCCCAACCTCCTGAGCTGCTCCAGCTGCTCGGGAAATGGCAGATCCAGAGCCTGGGAAGCACTTCTGCAAACACATTGCTGACTCTGCAGTGTTGTTTTTTTTTTTTAAAACTCTCTCCTCCAGCAATCTGAAAAGCTGTGGGGAATTTTCCAGGGCACTGTCAGGGCCTTTTCTAGGTGGTTACATGCTCCAAGCAGGGTTGACTTTCCGCTGTGAGAAATGTCCTCATGGATGTTTTTGTGCTTTATTTGTCCAGAACTTGCCACCAACAGGCACTTGGCTGGAACTTCTTTGAACAGCAGAGATAAACTATTGGGTGGTGGGATTTGGGGGTGCTTGGCACGATGCCACTGACCCCTGCCAGGCTCTAACTGAGGGCTCAGCTCGGATTAATCCTCTTGCTTTCCGTTTGAGTGCCCACACTGATGGTCTCCAACATTTGTCCCCTTGAGTCTCACTGACCATCCCCCAGGAGCCCTTCCCGCCTTGAGAGATTCCTACAGGTGCCTGGAGGCATTTTTCTCCTCTCTGAATCAGTTTTTTTCTCTGGGTAATGTTTAACTGCTGATTACACGTCCTTCCCTCCCGTGCCCCCCACCTGATGAGCATTCCCAGGAACTCTCCCAGAGCGTGGGATGTGAGCAATGGGCAGAACCACCTTGCTGCAAGCAAAAAAGTCTGGGTTGTGTCATGGTTTTGGGGCTCCTGTGTCATGTTTTGGGGCTCCTGTGATGCTTTGTACCTGCTCTAACCACCATCACCTTCACAGGCATGAGTGCAGGTGGATTTTCTTCCCCCGTTGCTGTGGTGGGTCTTGTAACCCACCAGACCCCGTTTTTCATTCCCAAATCCCAGGTTAATTGTGCTGCAGGCACTGGTGGGAGCTGCTGCTCACAGATATGGTTCTGTGAATCTCTTTGAGCAGGGAATGATCTCCCAGCTCCTGCTGAGTCTGGATGAGCTGGGAATCAGCCTCGGGCCTTGTTCTGTACAGGGAATTCTCTCCCTCCTGGTGACTTCCCTGACTGAATTGTCTGCTCATGAGCTGCCTCCAGCACAGGAGCTGCATTTCTGGGATGTGCTGGTGTATCCAAACCCATCTGGTAGTGTGGAAGTGCCTCCAATCCCTTCCAGAAGGCACAGGACTTGCTGCAGGGGGGGTGTATCCCAGATTTCCAGATGAGCAGCCGTGATCTGAGCTACTGAATCTGTGCAGGGGTGACTGAACCCTTAAGGATTCCTAAGGAATATGGCTGGAGACACGGCTCAGTGTTGTTGGACAGGAATCTCTTCTCCCCAAAACAGATCATTGCATCTTCTCCTCTTTGTTATAGTGAGTTGGACCCCATGAGAGTTCCCATTTGCCAGCTCTTGGTTACACCACTTGGAGTTGGTTAATTTGGTGCCTGTGTGTAGAGTCATAGGCTAAAAATGTAGAATGAGAGCTTTCTAATAATCATTTCAAAAAGCTGCCAACAAAAGACAACCTCTAGCATTTCTTTCAGGAATAAGCTTCAAATTTGCTCCCAGCTCTCTCTTGATGTATCATCTGTGCAGTGCATGTAAATGGGAATTTGGGTTTAAAATCTTATTCCATTTCCTCTTCATGAATTATTTTGGACCTAAATAATGAAGTAATTCCACCTCCTGCAAATGCAGCCACGGGACCAAATGATTTATTGCAAATGTCTTTTAAGGACCTCACTAAGTAACCACAGCAGGTTAAACAGACCCTTTTTCTCTTGGATGATGTATTAGTTTGAAAAATTCGGGTCTGTTTGGCATTTCTGGATGGGGAGGGGGTTTTATGCATCCCAGCTTCCTGCCTGGAAGCTCAGACAAGCAGTAAATCCTGCCTGGGTCCAGGGTGGGAAGCTCTAGGTGACACATATGATATTTGTCAGGGGGAAAAGGGGTGATTTGGGCTGTTTAAAAGGCACAAAAATTAAGAACAGGCATCTGAGCCCAGCCCAGCAGCCCCCCCTGGGCAGTTCTGTGCCCAGGCCCTGAGCTGCAGGAGCTCCAGCAGGGTGGTGGTGCTTGCTGGGGTTTTTTTCCATTCTAACTTCAAACCCTGGTTCTGTTGGATATTTCACAAGCCTTCTGATCCCAGTGTGCCTCAGATCCTGGCCTGTAACCAGTGGGAAAATACCTCTGGCTTGTTTTGCTTCCACATCCTGGCTTGCCTGCATGGGCAGCCCTACCCTGAAGGGTCTGGGGTGGTTTTTTAGGGTCTGAATGCACTTTGGTGCACATGGTGGAGTTGCTGTCGTTCCCATGAATAAGTCCATTCACCCAGAGGGAGAGGGAAAATGTGTGTGGCCCAGAATTTTAACGCAAAAAAAAAGAGGATTAGAACTGGGAAATGTGCAGTTCACAGCCTCGTTCAGGCACTGCTCCTGGGCAAGTCAGGGACAAAAGTCTGTTGGGTTCATATTCCCAGGTGTGGCTCTGGAAATGAGGGGGTTTCTCCCCAGGGATTTGGGGAGAATCAGCTCCTGTCACCTGTGTGAGCTGAGGGGTTTGAGCCCCTCTCACCACACGAGCCAGGGAGGGTGACTGAGCTCCCCTCCTTGGTGCTGCTGCTGCACAGAGCTGCTGCAGTTTGCAGAAAACTTTCTCTGGCCTGGCAAGGAAATGGAAAGCTTTTAATGTGTGTTTTAACAACAGCTGAACCTGGGGAGCTCGTGCCAGACCCCGAGACAAGCACACGAAGGTGCTGCTCTGACGTGGGGGCACGAAGGGGCTCGCACAGACAGGGGTTGTTCCCTTGAGGCCACAGCTCTGCCCCAGCTGCCCCCCAGCAGTTGGAACTCGGGGTTGCTTTCCCTCCTTCCTCCCTCTTTAGAGCCCCTCAGGGTGGATCTGGGCACATTCAGGTCCCACTGAAGCACGTGGTGTTTTTATCTCAGTCTGAAATCCCAATCCCTGCTGATGTTCCCAGTGATGCTGGGAAGGTGCTGGATGCAAACCCCACCTTTTTCTAGGTGGCCAAGCACTGAATTTGGGTGCATTCCTCACCAGCACCTGCCTTCCCTGGCAGGGAGTTGGTTCTCCAAGCCCAGCTCTCCTGGATAAAGACTCAAACAGAGTCCTCTGTTCCCTGTCCCCCCTCTCCTGTAATCGTGCAGGAGCTGCTGATGGGTGAGCTCTGATCCCCAGCCCCTCCTGAAGGAGCAGGGGGGCCCCCCCAGCTGAAATTGGGCAGGGCAGGGGGGGCAGGAGGGCTGTACCACCGGGGGCATCGCTCCCACGGGCCAAAACAACCCACACACTGTGTCTGCCAAGGTGTTTTACATGGAAACGGGCCCGAGGCTGAACTTTATGGAAACATTTGCAGCTCTGTAAAACGACCAGCAGTGTGAGCCTCCACCCCCAGGCTGGGTGAGTTAGAGGCTCTCAAAGGCCAGGCAGGTGTGTGTGCACAGGGGGAAGTGCAGCAGTGTGTCATGGAGAAGGAATGTCCTGTGATTGCTGTATCAAAGTCCATTTCTCCTCCCCTGCTGAACGGCTTTTGTCCAGCACTCCAGACTTTCCATGTGCTTTCCCATACAGAGTGGGGGCCAGGCTGCAATGCCCCAAAAGCAGTGGGTTCCCAGGGATTTTGCTAGGCTTTGCTGGGTCCCTGAGTCTTGCAGCAGGGGCTTGGTCAGGTGGAACCTGCTGATTCACGGGGCAGGGACTTGCTGCAGGTAAAGGACAGGCCCCTCCTGCCCTGGCTGGAGACACAGACCTTGGAGACACAGGCCTTGGACCTCTTGACTTGCTGCACCATTGAGAAAAACCCTGACCTGATGCATTTTTCCAATTGTTTGTTCCCACCCTGGCAGATCAATTAATCCTTTTCGTAAACAGGAGGTTTCACTGACAATAAAAATCCTTTGGGTTTGGGTGACTCATGCACAAACAGCTCAACCCTTCTCAAGGTGGTTTGAACCAGGTGGAAGGTAGGAAGCAGGAGTATTACATGACCTAATATCAAACTATTCAGCCTTCTTTATTTGGGGGTTTTTATTTTAGCAGCCAGAGGAGGGGCAGAACACTCCTGTGAGCCTGGGGTTTGAGCTCTTGTGGTCAGGAGCCACAAGGTGACAGTTGGGTGTGTTTTTTTCTGAATTTTGCCCGTGCCCAGCTTTCCCCAGCCTGCAGAGGGACGGAGAGGCTCTTCAGCCTTTGCTGCCAGTGTACAACCCCCATCCCCACAGTTCTGAGTGCTGGGGAGGGGCAGGGACAGCTCTTCCCTGAGCTCTGGTACCTCTCAGGTGCCCCCAGGTGTGTGTGAACCCTTTCCCTGTGCTGCACCACAAGGCTGGGCAAGCTCTGAACACAAAATATTTCCGTGTTGAAAGATGTGCAGCTGCTGTTCGTGCTGCTGAATTAACGTGGCCTGGGCTGAACAAAGGCATCATTCAGCCAGAGGAGAAGGACCCAGTCACAGGCTCAGGACAGAGTTATTTTGGGGGTTTAGATTAAAAGAAGAAACCCAGACTTTTTACCTTTGGGGGATTGAAGTATTTGGTGAAATGGAGCTTGCAGTCCTGATCCCACATCCCCAGGCAAACCCTGACTGCTTCCCTTCCTGCTGGTCCTTGATCCCTCTCATTCCTGCCACGGAGCCTCCCAAGGACACACCGTGTGTTGACTCAGCTGGTGCCCTCCCCAGACAACCCCCTGCCTGTCCCTGTCCATCCCACTGTGTCCTCCTGCCTCCCAAATCTGTGCCTGCCACCCTGTGTGGTGTTGGGTAGAGGCTGCTTTGCAGAAACCTTTGGGAAAGCCTCAGCAGGGGGAAGGGAGGGCAGGCTGCCTGTCAGATTCCCAGTTATTTTTCTTACCAGCTGATTTCCATCCCCTGAATTATTCCTGGCTGTCGTGTGTCTTGTGCTGTGCAAAATTACCTGCACCAAGAACATGCCACAATATCCCAGTGGAGTATAACAGAGCCCTGCCTGGTTGTACTGGGAAGCATCTGAAATGGGAAACTCAATTCCATATGGAGTGTTGAAGAATAATGTACTTTTCAAAGGATAGCTGGAGTGGAGCTGGGAGCTGAAGTGGTTCCAGAGGGCTGTTGGAAGTGGTGCTCACACCTCCCTCAGGCTGAAGGAGCCCTTTAATGGCTCAGGTTACCAGGTGCACTGAGAAAACATTTGGAAAAGGCTTATAAAGCCAGTAAACATCCAGACTGCTTTTTCTAGATCTAGTTTTACTCAAACCCAGGAACAGGCATATTTTCAGCTGTCCACTTGGAAGCTTGTCCACTTCCAACAACAGAGTTGAGGTGACAGCAGGGTGAGGGAGGTGCTGGGCTGAACTCACACCAACCCTCTGTCACAGCAGTGACCCTGTCCTGGGATGGCTCTTGTTTGCCATGGAACTTCTGGAGCTTCAAATCAGGCTTCCTCACATGGGATGAATGAAACTACTCTAAATTCTATTTTAGAATGGAGTTTTTAAACCTTTCTGTGCTGACTTTTCCCCTTCCCTCAAGACACGTTGCTGAATTCTGGGTGCAGAATCCCCCACACTTGTATCTCAGCCTGAGATGATAATCTAAAAATCCTAAAGCTTTTAAAATACCCATTATTCCAAACAGCAATGGTACACAGCAACAATGCACTGTTGTGTTTATGTCTTATTTTATCCTTTTAATACCGAACAGGGGATATTTTAAAACAAACTGCTCAAGATTGGGGCGAAATTTCCATTCCAGATTTTCACCACAGTGAAAACATTAAGAACCCCAGCTCAGTGAACCCTGACTTAGTAGGTTCTGACCCTTTACTGGACAGTTGCCTAATCACCACTGTCAAACTTGGGTTGATATTTCATTAGTGTTTTATGAGCTCACTGCCCTGTTTCCCCCTGCAGCTGAATCAAGATGACGACGGCCACGCCACTGAGCAACAACACCCAGCTCTCAGGGAACGTGACCACAAAGTCTCAAGAACAAAGTCTCTACCAAAGTAAGAAAAGGAATGGGCTGGTGGCTTTTTTTTTATTTTATTATTTTATTTTTTAAGTGGACCTTTGTTCTTACCAAACTTCAAAGAGTACGGTGACAACTTTGTAAATAAGGGGTTGTTTTTTCCCCTCCCCTGTTTCCCTCCCAGGTTCTGGAGCAATAGTTGCTGCCATCGTGGTAGGGGTGATCATCATTTTTACAGTGGTTCTGCTCACCTTGAAAACATACAACAGGTAGGTGGCCAAGTTCTGTGTTCATCAAAATGGACCAAAGTCCCCTCTCTCAGCCAGCAGAGCACTTCAGGATTTGTTGTTGACAGTTTCCAGAAGAATCTAAACCTCAGTGTGCTGCTGGAAGTGTCCTGATTCTCCCAGTCAGTGCTCTGTGACTGGGTTGTTAGGAAGCAGAATTCCTTCATGGGGAAGCTCTTTTTAGGGATTCCTGTGGATGCAGGGAAGGTCTGAGCGTGCAGCAAAGCTGCCAGAGGGGAGCTTGATTTCTCACTTCTCATGCTCTGGAAGCACTGACTTGCCACTTGGTTCCTTTGGGATGAAATTAAAAAAAGAAATTGAAAAAAAAATTCAAAAAAGAACATTAAATTGCTGGGTGAACTGGCAAGTGTTGTGTTTGTTCTGAGCCACACAGCAGACTGCAGATACTATAAAGAGTTTTAAACAGGCTTAATCCTGCTAAGTGCCTGTGCCACAGGCAGTCTTTAGGATTCCCATGGTCTGCAATAGCAAATGGGAGTGTCAGTAGTTTGTTCCCTTTCCATGTGTGATGACTTTGCAGCGTGTCATGTTGCTCATTCCGGGTGCTTTCTGACCAAAGTGGCTGGGGAGCTCAGAACTTTGAGGTTTTTTCTTCTTTGTTATCATTTGGTTCATTGACAGCTGCTGTTATTGCTGGTGCTGAGCCCCTTCCTCCAGGCCCAGGGAATGACATGGATTAAATTCCATGTTTTCCATCAGTCACGTTGTTTTCCTGAATAAACTTCCCAGGCCGTGGGTTTGCTCTGAATCCTTAACAGCCCATCAGGGTTCGGCTGTAGCTCTGCACTCCCTCTGTTGATTCTTTGGGATGAAATCCTGGCTTTTACTGACTTTCAAATAACTGTACAATGTAACCTGGCTCTGGGGGAACCTCCCCAGCCCTCCCAGGGGAGCACCGACCCCGCTGACGGTCCCGTTCCCTCTGCAGGCGCATGCGGGTGAGGCGGGAGCTGGAACCCAAACCCCCCAAGGCAGCGATGCCACCTCCTCTGGGGCACAACAGCCTGTGCCAGCCCCCCACGGTGACCTTCATCCCTGTGGACATCCACCTGCACGACAGGTAACCGGGAACACTCGTCCTCCCCGCAGCAAGAGGTGGAACTGTCGCTCACACGGACCTGGGGCTCCTCAGCAAAGCTTTTGGAACAACAACAGGCTGTTGTTTTGCCTTTGGATTGTAATTAATCCTGATTTCTCTCTTTGAGAGGAAAAATGAGAGGTCTGGACACTCTTCCTGTGGCTGAAATCAGCTGGTGGAGGCACAGGAATCATCAGAGCCCGGGGTGTGGGGAGAGCGGATGAAGTGAGAAGGCGCCAGCTCAGATTTTGTGGAGCTTTTGCTGGCTCAGAGTTGAACTTTCTCTGCCCTGCTGGTAAACAGGAAGAGAAATCTGGACGTGCCACAACTCAGGTGGGACCTGGGTTTGTTGTGAATTACATGGCACAGGTTTGTGGTGTGTTTTACACACGATGGATGGCACAGGAAGCATCAGAATTGTATTTATCGTTACCCACCTGTCGTGTTTCTAAGCCCACATGTGTATGGGTTGAGATAAAAGGGTACTTTTTATTTGCAAGTATGTTTAAACTATTTCTATAAACCATGTAACTCTCCATTTCCAAAGGAGCTTGGGTGTCTGAGGGTTTTCACTCTCGAGAATCGCTTCAGGTCCGGGGCTGGAGCTGCCTGAGAATGTTTTGTCTTGCACAAAATGTGAGTTCTTTAATTGGAAAAATAACCCTGGAAATAGGAGGAATAATCTTTTATAAAGCAAGTGAGGCTTTGCAGAGCCCCAGTGTGCCACTCACCCCCTGCAAGGCTTTGTTCTCTGGTGCAGTCCGGGCTCCAACTATTTTTAGAAATTTTTTTATCCTAGAAAGGAACTGAGAAAAACGATGTTGTTTTGTGAGTGTGATGGTTGTGGGTGTACAGCAATGCCACAAAGGAATTCCCAGGGATATTCACAGCCCACTGAGTGGGAACACAGAGCAGCATTGTCAATCAGTGGCTGATTGTCTGAGGGTGTGTCAGAGCAGCCCCCAATGGGCTGACAGAGGCAGGAAGGAGTTTAGGAAGGAGTTGAGGAGTTAAACCTTGTCTTAAAGGGAAGGACATGAGGCTCTGGGGAACAGCTCCACTCCCTGACACAAATTTTATGGAATCACTCACTGGAATGGCTGGACAGAGGGAGAAGTTCCTGCTGTCTGACTGAACTGATCAGAGAACCTCCAGCTTTAGAGCTTTTTGTCCTGCAGCTTCTTCCCAACACGTCACCAACAGGTACATCCCTGAATCCCCCCGTCCTCAGGGGAGGGTGGGGAGGGACTGGGGGGCAACTTGATCTATTTTTTATATATTTTTTCCAAGAAGCCACCTCTTGAACAGGTCACTTTTACTAACTGGTGGTTTGTTGGTTTGGGGTTTGGTTTTTGTTTTTGGTTTTTTTGTGCAGAAACTAAATTCAATCACTTTGCAATATTTTTTTTTTTTTTGCCTGAAACTGGAGCAGGGTTTGAATTCCAAGCTAAATATTGAGACAGCTGCTTGTGAAGTTTCTGAATCTCGCTGTAAATATTTTACTTGTCCTAGTTCTCTTATTTTTTGTGGCAGGGGTGATTGATTTAATCATTCAGAAGGGACAGCAGATGCAAATCTAATTTTTTTCCTAAAAAATATGAAGGAGTTGACCTTGTGTTGCTATCTCTGATCAGCTAAGGATGTTCTCTGGGCATGTATTGAAACCAAGACCTTTAGGAAAGATAAGCCCCATCCCACTGTTATGTTCAACATCACCAGCCAGCCCTACTTCTAGCAAATTTTGTTTACTTTCCATTTACTTCATTTCAAACCACTGAAGTTCACGAGCAGAATAAGCAGAGCTACTGTGAGCAACTCTGCTTTTGTAGAATTGCTGTTCCTGGCAGGAGAGTCACTGCTTTGGCCTCACCAGCATTTGCTCAATCGAGAAAATTCCAATCCCAGGGAAAATTTGCCTCGTATTGGCCCATCCTGGGAGGCCCCCACCATCCCCTCCTGGCAGCTTGTGCTGAGCAAGCAAAATCACCTTCCTAAGAAACAAAAAAAACCCTGTATTTCCACTTGTGTAATTTGCTGTGGATTTAAGTTTTCCAGGAACAATCCCACGCTCTCCCTGTGCTGCCTCAGTGCTGACTCGACCTGCCCCATCTGGGCTCCCTGATTCCACTCCCAAAGGCCCAGATTTTGGGAAAACCCCCCTTTCAGCTGCCCCTGCTGCTCTCCTGCCCCCAGGGGAACCAGCTGGTTAAAGAAACACTGAAAAGTGTGGAGAGAACAGGCAGTGTGAGTGCAACACTTTAATCGTGATCCACACAAGACTCGCTGGAGATTATCCATGAAACTCTGCAAATTAACAAGATTTGGGCACTCGTGGCCCCAGTGCCTTTCTCCCTGGGAGGAACAAGCAACATTTCCAGCCCCTTGCTCTGTGCTTTGGTTCAGCAGCGACAACGAGGACATTGGGGCCGCAGGGCAGAGGAAAAAATATCACCACAAGTTTTTTCGATGGTCAGAGTTAAGAGCTGGTCTTGCAAGAATCAGTGGTGGGGTTTTTTTTTTGCTCCTAAAAGTCTTCTGGAGTACCTTCAGCAGGTCGGGTCCTTCAGTCTCACAGCTGGCACTTCAAGAGATGCAAATACGCTGGTAAAATGTTTAATTTTGCACTGCTGGGTAAGTCCCGACCCCAAAACTCCTGCAGGGCGGCAGCTCTCACCCCTCACCTTCATCCTCACACCCCAGCAGAGAGCACGGAGCTCCACCTAGTGTCCTCCTCCCTCCCGGCCGCCTGGAACTCGCCTTTCCCAACAAAACCACAAAGCAATTCCAAGTTTAGCTGACAACTGAATTCCTGACACCACCTTGACCCCCATCCCAGTCCTCCTTCCCCTCAATCCACCGTGCTGGAGCAGCTGAGCCCAGAACTCCTCCAGCTTTGGCCGTGCAAAGCACAGATCATGGCAGGTCTAAGCAGAAAAAAATACAAGAATGTTCTTTGGGTTTTATTCCCGAGTCCCATAACAATTTATCTCCCAAAAACACAACCATAAACCCACGTGTCTCTCACATGGCTGCTGCTGAAGCAGGAAGTAGCTGTGGTGCTTTGAGTAGCAATTTATTTTATTTATTAATTATTATTAATAATTTTTTATTTAAAGCAAACTATCCTTATTAAAGATGAAGGACATAGGAGTTACTCTTGGATAAAACCCAAGGCTGTCACTGTGGGTAAATTTGTATTGACCTCAGTGAGGTGTAACTTTACTCCCACATCTTTCAGCAGGTCACATTTGTGTGACCTGCACCAGTCACACCAGTTTGTGCTGGCACCAGTCACACCAGTTTGCTGTCCTGGACACTGATGCCTGAGGTGTGGGGAGAGAACTCTCACAGCAGTGTCTCTGTCCAGTTTTGGGCTCCTCAGGACAAGAAGGACAAGGAGGTGCTGAGGAGGGTCCAGTGGAGGCTGCAGAGATGATTTGGGGTCTGGAGCATCTCTGGGATGAGAGACACCACGAGAGCTGGGCCTGGTCAGTCTGGAGGAGGGAAGGTTGAGAGGGGACCCATAAATCCGTACAAATATCTCATCAATCCACACAGATATCTCCAAGGGGTGTCACAGGATGGTCCCAGATTCTTTTCAATGGTGCCCAATGACAGGACGAGAAGTAATGGACATAAAGCAAAACATAACAAGTTCCACCTCAACATGAGGCAGAACTTCTTTCCGTGGAGGTGGTAGAGGCTGCCCAGGGAGGGCGTGGAGTCTCCCTCTCTGGAGACATTCCAGACCCACCTGGGCGCGTTCCTGTGTCACCTGCTCCAGGGACCCTGCCTCTGACTGTGTGATCTCCAGATGCCTTTCAACCCAACCATTCCGCATTCTGTGACGGCTGCAGAGCCCCGTTTTCCGTCGCGAACCCCCCGCCGTGTCGGTCCGGGGGCTTGTTCCCGCGGGCCGAGCCGCTGCGCCCTCACGAACCGTCCGCCGCCATGCTGCGCGGGTAGTCACGGGCCCCGCGAGGGCACGCGAGATCTCGCGAGACTCCGGCGTCGCAACCAGCGCGCGTGTCAACATCTCGCGAGAGCAGGAGTCACAGACATTCACACACGCAGCACCCCCGGCGCGCGCGCGGCGCCGCGGAACGCCTTCTGATTGCCCCGTCGACCCTCCAACCAATGGGCAGGCGGCTTGTGGCCCGCCCCTTCCCTCGCGCTCTCCCTCCCCGCCCCTTCTTCCTCCCCCGGCGCGGCTGGGGGGCGCGCGGTGCACGCCGGGACGGCAGCGCGCTGCCCGCGGCCGGGAGGAGGCGGAGGAGCCAAGATGGACGCCGGGTTCTTCCGGCGTAAGTGCGGGGCCCCCGCGAGGCCTGAGGGCGGCTGCGCTGCGGCCGCCGCCACGGGCGCGGGGAGGGGACAGGCGAGCCCGCTGCGTGAGCGCGCTGGGGCCGCGCTGCTTCCGCGCGCGGCCGAGCACCCTCCCCCCCCTCCTCCTCCCCGCGCCCTGCGCAGGCTCCTCGCGCGCGGAGAAAATGGCGGCGGCGCGGCCCGGGCGGGAGCGTGAGGGGAGCGGCGGGCGGAGGAAAGAATCGGGGCTGAGAGGATCCTCGCCGGCAGGATTGTCGCTGGGAGGACTCTCCTTCCAGCGGGGAAGCTCCTTGGCCGTCCCCGGTCTCAGGGCCCGACCCACGCGGGGCCGTGTCACGGCTGCGACCCCCAAGCCCCCCGGACTGTGGGAGGGGGGACCGGGCCGGGAGGCCGCGGGGAGCGAGCCCCGCTCTGCGCTGACCACATTCTGCTGTGTCCGCGTTCGAAGCGACCAAACAAACCTGCCCCTTTTTTTTTTTTTTTTTTTTAGAGAGGGATTTTTAAGGTTGTTAAGTGTATTCATGGCAAAACGAAGTTATGCCTTATTCTTAACTTTGATATCTTATTTTAATCATTGAGTTTTGTCTCTCCATTGCAGCTATGCTGCATTTTCTGCAGAGGCCATTAAACCTGCCTGGGTTTAATGCCTCCTTCTTTTCAGCTTTTTCTTCCATTGGAACGACCTTAGTTTTGGTTTTCTCTGGTAATTTTGAAAGCCAGTTTAAATTTTCAAGATTCATTCACTTGTTCTTTTCAATTTCTGCAACTAGGAGGCTTTCAAAACATGGCACACACATAACCCTTCCCTCCATTCAGTTTTCTCCATTGAGAAAAATAACTACGAGTTAAATCTGCACTTGTTCCAGCGCAGTTGTTACAAAGTTTGCAAACCAAGTGGTTGTAATTGACAGCACAATTACTGGGGCTGAAAACACTGAATTAGAAATCTAACATTCTTTTAAACTGGCCTGTGAAGGTGATGTTTTATAGAAGCAGAAGCAACGTGGCACTGAACTGGGGCTGTGAACAGTGTTCTGGCTTTAGTCTGGGTCCTGGAGGAACCAAAGTTCTTGTGAAATGACACAAGTGCAGCAGAGCAGCAGTTTGGACTCCCTGTCTCAAGAAAGCTCCTATTAATAGTTCTTTCAGTTCTTCACACGTGTGTGAAGTTTCAGTGCAAACTGTTTTGTCTCTGTGTTTAAATTCCTGTAACCCTTCTATTCTGTCCCTTTGGTTCCCTTTGCCTCTTACCTGTGTTAGAAACAGGGTACAAAAAACTTCCTTTCTGGGTTGTGAAAGAATTGAAAAAAAAAAACAAAACCCAAAAAGAACATTGAATTGCTGGGTGAACTGGCAAGTGCTGTGTTTGTTCTGAGCCACACAGCAGACTGCAGATACTATAAAGAGTTTTAAACAGGCTTAATCCTGTTAAGTGCCTGTGCCACAGGCAGTCTTTAGGATTCCCATGGTCTGCAATAGCAAATGGGAATGTCAGGAGTTTGTTCCCTTTCCATGTGTGTTGACTTTGCAGCATGTCATGTTGCTCATTCCAGGTGCTTTCTGACCAAAGTGGTTGAAGAGCTTAGAATTTCGAGTTTTTTTCTTCTTTGTTATCATTTGGTTCATTGACAGCTGCTGTTATTGCTGGTGCTGAGCCCCTTCCTCCAGGCCCAGGGAATGGCATGGATTAAATTCCATGTTTTCCATCAGTCACGTTGTTTTCCTGAATAAACTTCCCAGGCTGTGGGTTTGTTCTGAATCTTTTAACAGCCCATCAGGGTTTGGCTGTAGCTCTGCACTTCCTCTTATTCCTGTCTGGTTCTGTTGACTTCTCTACAAGTAAGTTTTCCAGAACTGAACTTCCAGGCCTTTCCCTTCCAAATGAATTAACCTGCAGTGTCTGTCCATGCAAGTGGAATGAGTTGGTCAACTTTTAACAGAGGAGGATCAATAAAAGAGTATTCTTTGTACCCTTCTGGCTCCCAGGGGGGTGGTTTGCCCCAGACAAGTCACCCAGAGGTTTCAGAGATAATCACTGTAAGCAAATAGGACATTTCTGTTCCTGGAATGAGGAAAAAGACTTTATTCCTTTTGGGAAGTTTGTGCATTCCAGCACAAACCCTTTTCCTGGCAGTTTGAGACTCCTGTACTTTAATTTGTGAGCAGTTTTCCGGGGGGGGGTTATGACTGAGGTGTCACTGTGGGGCTCAGCAGCTGCCCACCTCAAACCCCTGAGCAGCAGGGAAAGGCTGTTGTGCTGAACACACCTGGAAAGGCTTATTTTGCCTGAAATAATTAAAAAAAAAAAAAAAGAGGACTTACAGGATGGCTTCACTGGTGCTGCTGTGCTCTATCCAGTGCAGATATGTGGGGAAATAATCCTTGGAGAGTGGTTGAATGTCCTACAGGCTGAACCTGTTGTTTCCTGTGCTCCAGGGAACCAGTGCAGAGCAGGACAATCGCTTCAGCAACAAGCAGAAGAAGCTGTTGAAGCAGCTGAAATTTGCAGAATGCTTAGAAAAGAAGGTAAGTGAGATGGGAAGTAAGACACACCAAGCCAAGAGGTTTTTCAGTGGATGAATTGGGTATCAGGTGGAACATATGGGAGGGTGAGGAATGTCTTCCCTAAAACCACCCCGGAGGATATTGGAGCGTCAGAGACAGAGCAGTGCTGTCCATGAGCTGGTCACAGCACTAAAGGCACCTTCAAAAGAAGTCAGTTTTCCAGCAGATATTAACAGTTTGGAATTCTGGGCATCCTCAGGTGCAGCCCCCCCATGCCCTTTTTTGGGGTGGTGCTTGTTGTTGTTGTTTCAGGTTTTCTAGAGCAGTGTGCTGGAGGGCACTGTGGTGGTGGGGACGTTCCTGCAGTGACACAGACCAGGGCAGCTGCAGAAACAGTTCAGGGTTCCTTGCTG